TTTAAAATTTTCAAATGATTATAAATTGAAAACCATTTGTGATAGACACAATCTTTTTAATTGAAAATGTTCTAAATGATAAAACCCATTAAATGAAATACAGGGTTAGTCCCCAGGAGTCACTCCCACCCCCTGCCATTTAAGAAAGTTCTAATATCTTGTAAGTGGTCAAGATCCCCACCCCTAAACCATATATATTCTGGTTTGTCATGCTAAGATGGTTTGAATGATATACAGGGTTAGTCCCCAGGGGTCATCCCGACCCCCTGCCATTTGAGAAAGTTCTAATATCTTGTTAATGGTTGAGATCCCCACCCCTAAACCATATATATTCTGGTTTGTCATGATAAATCACATCAAAGGAAATACAGGGTTAGTCCTCAGGGGTCACCCCCACCCCTTGCCATTTAAGAAAGTTCTAATATCTTGTAAGTGGTCAAGATCCCCACCCCTAAACCATATATATTCTGGTTTGTCATGCTAAGATGGTTTGAATGATATACAGGGTTAGTTCCCAGGGGTCATCCCGACCCCCTGCCATTTGAGAAAGTTCTAATATCTTGTAAATGGTTGAGATCCCAACCCCTAAACCATATATATTCTGGTTTGTCATGATAAAGCACATCAAATGAAATACAGGGTTAGTCCCCAGGGGTCACCCCCACCCCCTGCCATTTAAGAAAGTTCTAATATCTTGTCAGTGGTCAAGATCCCCACCCCTAAACCATATATGTTCTGGTTTGTCATGCTAAGATGGTTTGAATGATATACAGGGTTAGTCCCCAGGGGTCATTCCGACCCCCTGCCATTTGAGAAAGTTCTAATATCTTTGTTAATGGTTGAGATCTCCACCCCTAAACCATATATATTCCTATTTGTCATGTCTCGAACATTTGAATGATGTATGCGGTCAGTCTCTAGGGGTTCCCCCCACCCCCAATGTTCTAATATCTTGTAAATGGTTGAGATCCCCACCCCTAAACCATATATATTCCTGTTCGTCATGTAACACACATTTGAATGACGTATAGGGTCAGTCCCCAGGGGTTCCCCCAATCCCAATGTTCTAGTATCTTGTAAATGGTCGAGATCCCCACCCCTAAACCAAATATATTCTGGTTTGTCATGATAAAGCACATCAAATGAAATACAGGGTTAGTCCCCAGGGGTTACCCCCACCCCCTGCCATTTAAGAAAGTTCTAATATCTTGTAAGTGGTCAAGATCCCCACCCCTAAACCATATATATTCTGGTTTGTCATGCTAAGATGGTTTAAATGATATACATGGTTAGTCCCCAGGGGTCATCCCGACCCCCTGTCATTTGAGAAAGTTCTAATATCTTGTAAATGGTTGAGATCCCCACCCCTAAACCATATATATTCCTGTTCGTCATGTTACAAACATTTGAATGACGTATAGGGTCAGTCCCCAGGGGTTCCCCCACCCCCAATGTTCTAGTATCTTGTAAATTTAGAAGAAATTTCGTCCGACTTACTAACTGCCACAAATATTACATTTTAGGTCAGGCTTGATAAAGAAATTTCTTCCAACCAACTAACAGCTACATTTGTTTCATTTTAGAGCTCAATGTAGGTTTGATAGAAGAACAACGGCTCAGATTTAATATTTCATTTTAGGTTTAAATCTGATAGAAGAAATTTCTTCCAACGAACGATCAGCTCGAAGTAATTCATATTACGCTTCATAAAAGAACATTTCTATTAACGAACTAACTGCTATAAGTATTATATTTTAGGCATACGTCTGAAAAAAGAAATTTCTTCCAATGAACTTACTGCTCCTATGATTTTATTTTGTACCGAATAAAAGAAATTTCTTCCAATAAACTAACCTCTCTATGTACTTCTTCTAAGGTCTGAAAGAAAATATTTCTGTCTAGGAATATTCCCATAATTTTACACAAGTTTCTGATTTTCTTCTGAACGTGTAGAAAGAGATGTTCATTTCCTTTTTATAACAGCTGTCATTAATTAAATCGAATAATCATCATGCGTTCATGTATCATTTACTTCATCATAAAAATATTTTTTTTCAACGCTTTTACATTCTGAGTGTCTCTGAGAACAGGTTATGCCATTATATATTCTTTGGACTATTTTTTGGTTTTTAGGAATATAAAATGTTAAATGGAAATATCCTTTGAACGCACCATTCATTCGTATTCTGTCTGTGCAACGGTGGAATGCCTTTTTAAAAGAATTACTTGCTTGTCAAACAGGTTTATGTCTTATTCAAGTTTAAAGTTATGAGACCTGAAAATACCCTTCAAAAAAGGACCATAAAAAAATCCATACTAGTACCTAATTATGTTCAGCTACACTTTTTGTATACTGTGTGATGCCAAAATGTCAGGTCAATGCATGTGATTTCAAAATAAATTGCCATGTATATTGTTATGTTACTCACAGTCATGTTATTTTCTTCATAATTAATATAATTTCTACAAATGATCTGATTTTATTGAAGGCTAGATAGAAATGTTTCCACCGAATTAACTGCTCCAAATATTCTAATTAAGATTTCATATTTTAAGTCTAAGTCTGATAGTTTGTTGAAAGAAATTTTTTTCAACTTTCTAACAGCTACATGTTTTCATTTTAGATCTACATGTATATCTGATAGAAGAAATTTCTTCCAACTTACTAACTGCCACAAGTATTTCAGTTTAGGTCTATGTCTGATAGAAGAAGTTTCTTCCAACGGACTAACTGATTCAAATATTTTTTTTAAGGTTTGTTAGAAGAAATGTCGTCCGATTTACTAACTGCCACTAATATTACATTTTAGATCAGGCTTGATAAAGAAATTTCTTACAACCAACTAACAGCTACATGTGTTTCATTTTAGATCTAAATGTAGGTTTGATAGAAGAACTAACGGCTCGGATTAAATATTTCATTTTAGGTTTAAATCTGATAGAAGAAATTTCTTCCAACGAACGATCAGCTCGAAGTAATTCATATTACGTTTGATAAAAAAACATTTCTATCAACGAACTAACTGCTATAAGAATGATTCTTTAGGCATACGTCTGACAAAAGAAATTTCTTCGAATGAACTAACTGCTCCTATGATTTTATTTTGTACCGAATAAAATAAATTTCTTCCAATAAACTGACCTCTCTATACACTTCTTCTAAGGTCTGAAAGAAGAAATTTCTGTCGTGGAATATTCTCATACTTTTAAACAAGTTTCTGATTTTTTTCTGAACGTGTAGAAAGACATGCTCATTTCATTTTTATAACAGCTGTCATTACTTAAATCGAATAATCATCATGCGTTCATGTATCATTTAATTCATCATAACAATATTGTATTTCAACGCTCTAACATTCTGAGTGTCTCTGAGAACAGGTAATGCAATTATATATTCTTTTGAACATTTTTTTATTTTTAAGATTAGAAAATGTAAAGTGTACATATCCTTCGAACACACCGATCATTCTGATTCTGTTTGTGCAACAGTGGAATGCCTTTTTAAAAGAATTATTTGCTTGTCAAACAGGTTGATGACTTATTAAAGTTTAAAGTTGTGTGACCTGAAAATACCCTTCCGCAAAATACCACCACACAAAATCCATTCTAGTACCTAATTATGTACAGCTACACTTTTTTTGTATACTGTTTGATGCCGAAATGTCAGGTAAATTCATGTGATTTCAAGATAAATTTTCATGTATATTATTATGTTACTCACATTCACGTTAAGTTCTTCATAATTAATATAATTTCTACAAATGATTTGATTTTATTGAAGGCTAGATAGAAATGTTTTCACCGAACTAACTGCTCCAAACATTCTAATTAAGATTTTATATTTTAAGTCTAAGTCTGATAGTTTGTTGAAAGAAATTTCTTTTAATAGCTACATGTTTTCATTTTAGATCTACATGTATATCCTATAGAAGAAATTTCTTCCAACCTACTAACTGCCACAAATATTTCAGTTTAGGTCTATGTCTGATAGAAGAAGTTTCTTCCAACGGACTAACTGCTTCAAATATTTCATTTAAGGTTTGTTAGCAGAAATTTCGTCCGATTTACTAACTGCCACTAATATTACATTTGAGATCAGGCTTGATAAAGAAATTCCTTCCAACCAACTAACAGCTACATGTGTTTCATTTTAGATCTAAATGTATGTTTGATAGAAGAACTAACGGCTCGGATTAAATATTTCATTTTAGGTTTAAATCTGATAGAAGAAATTTCTTCCAACGAACGATCAGCTCGAAGTAATTCATATTACGTTTGATAAAAGAACATTTCTATCAACGAACAAACTGCTATAAGTATTATACTTTATGCATACGTCTGATAAAAGAAATTTCTCCTAATGAACTTACTGTTCCTATGATTTTATTTTGTACCGAATAAAAGAAATTTCTTCCAAAAAACTGATCTCTCTATGTACTTCTTCTAAGGTCTGAAAGAAGATATTTCTGTCTAGGAATGTTCTCATAGTTTTACACAAGTTTCTGATTTTGTTTCTGAACGTGCAGAAAGACATGTTCATTTCATTTTTATAACAGCTGTCATTACTTAAATCGAATAATCAGCATGCGTTCATGTATCATTTAATTCATCATAACAATATTGTATTTCAACGCTCTAACATTCTGAGTGTCTCTGAGAACAGGTAATGCAATTATATATTCTTTTAAACATTTTTTTTGTTTTTAAAATTAGAAAATGTAAAGTGTACATATCCTTCGAACACACCGATCATTCTTATTCTGTCTGTGCAACGGTGGAATGCCTTTGTAAAAGAATTTTTTGCATGTCACACATGTTTATGTCTTATTGAAGTTTAAAGTTGTGTGACCCGAAAATACCCTTCCCCAAAATAGGACCACAAAAAATCCATACTTGTATCTAATTATGTTCAGCTACATTTCTTTTTTTTATACTGTTTGATGCCAAAATGTCAGGTAAATTCATGTGATTTCAAGATAAATTTTCATGCATATTATTATGTTACTCACACAGTCACGTTATTTTCTTCATAGTTAATATAATTTCTACAAATGATCTGATTTTATTGAAGGCTAGATATAAATGTTTCCAACGAACTAACTGCTCCAAACATTCTAATTAAGATTTTATATTTTAAGTCTAAGTCTGATAGTTTGTTGAAAGAAATTTCTTTCAACTTTTTAACAGCTACATGTTTTCATTTTAGATCTACATGTATATCTGATAGAAGAAATTTCTTCCAACTTACTAACTGCCACAAGTATTTCAGTTTAGGTCTATGTCTGATAGAAGAAGTTTCTTCCAACGGACTAACTGCTTCAAATATTTCATTGAAGGTTTGTTAGAAGAAATTTCGTCCGATTTACTAACTGACACTAATATCACCTCTTAGATCAGGCTTGATAAAGAAATTCCTTCCAACCAACTAACAGCTACATGTGTTTCATTTTAGATCTAAATGTAAGTTTGATAGAAGAACTAACAGCTCGGATTAAATATTTCATTTTTGGTTTAAATCTGATAGAAGAAATTTCTTACAACGAACGATCAGCTCGAAGTAATTCATACTACGTTTGATAAAAGAACATTTCTATCAACGAACTAACTGCTATAAGTATTATACTTTAAGCATACGTCTGATAAAAGAAATTTCATCCAATGAACTTACTGCTCCTATGATTTTATTTTGTACCGAATAAAAGAAATTTCTTCCAATAAACTGACCTCTCTATGTACTTCTTCTAAGGTCTGAAAGAAGAAATTTCTGTCTAGGTATTTTCTCATACTTTTACAGAAGTTTCTGATTTTGTTCTGAACGTGTAGAAAGACATGCTCATTTGATTTTTGTAACAGCTGTCATTACTTAAATCGAATTATATCATCATGCGTTCATGTATCATTTAATTCATCATAACAATATTGTATTTCAACGCTCTAACATTCTGAGTGTCTCTGAGAACAGGTAATGCAATTATATATTCTTTTGAACATTTTTTTGTTTTTAAAATTAGAAAATGTAAAGTGTACATATCCTTCGAACACACCGATCATTCGTATTCTGTCTGTGCAACGGTGGAATGCCTTTTTAAAAGAATTATTTGCTTGTCAAACAGGTTTATGTCTTATTCAAGTTTAAAGTTGTGTGACCCGAAAATACCCTTCCCCAAAATAGGACCACAAAAAATCCATACTTGTATCTAATTATGTTCAGCTACATTTCTTTTTTTTATACTGTTTGATGCCAAAATGTCAGGTAAATTCATGTGATTTCAAGATAAATTGCCATGCATATTATTATGTTACTCACAAAGTCACGTTATTTTCTTCATAGTTAATATAATTTCTACAAATGATCTGATTTAATTGAAGGCTAGATAGAAATGTTTCCAACGAACTAACTGCTCCAAACATTCTAATTAAGATTTTATATTTTAAGTCTAAGTCTGATAGTTTGTTGGAAGGAGTTTCTTTTAACTTTGTAACAGCTACATGTTTTTCATTTTAGATCTACATGTAGATCTGATAGAAAAAATGTTTTCCAACTTACTAACTGCCACAAGTATTTCAGTTTAGGTCTATGTCTGATAGAAGAATTTTCTTCCAATTGACTGACTGCTTCAAAGATTTCATTGAAGGTTCGTTAGAAAAGATTTCGTCCGACTTACTTACTGCCACAACTATTACATTTTATGTCAGTCTTGATGAAGAAATTACTTGCAACCAACTAACAGCTACATGTGTTTCATTTTAGATCTAAATGTATGTTTGATAGAAGAACTAGCGGCTCGGATTAAATATTTCATTTTAGGTTTAAATCTGATAGAAGAAATTTCTTTGAACGAACGATCAGCTCGAAGTAATTTATATTACGTTTGATAAAAGAAAATTTCTATCAACGGTCTAACTGTTATAAGTATTATATTTTAGGCATACGTCTGATAAAAGAAATTTCTTTCAATGAACTTACTGCTCCTTTGATTTTATTTTGTATCGAATAAAGAAATTTTTTCCAATAAACTGACCTCTCTATGTACTTCTTCTAAGGTCTGAAAGAAGAAATTTCTGTCATGGAATATTCTTATAGTTTTACACAAGTTTCTGATTGTTTTTTTGAACGTGTAGAAAGACATGCTCTTTTCATTTTTATAACAGCTGTCATTACTTAAATCGAATAATCATCATGCGTTCATGTATCATATACTTCATCATGAAAATATTGTATTTCAACGCTCTAACATTCTGAGTGTCTCTGAGAACAGGTAATGCAATTATATATTCTTTTGAACATTTTTTGTTGTTTTTAGAATTAGAAAATTTAAAGTAGACATATCCTTCGAACGCACCGATCATTCGTATTCTGTCTGTGCAACAGTGGGATGCTTTTTTAACAAAAATTATTTGCTTGTCAAGTAGGTTTATTTTTTATTAAAGTTTAAAGTTGTGTGACCCGAAAAACATGAAAAAACCCTTCCTCAAAATAGGACAACAAAATATCCATACTAGTACCTAATTATGTTCAGCTTCACTTCTTTTTTTATACTGTTTGATGCCAAAATGTCAGGTAAATTCATGTGATTTCAAGATAAATTGCCATGCATATTATTATGTTACTCACAGTGACGTTATGTTCTTCATAATTAATATAATTTCTACAAATGATCTGATTTTATTGAAGGCTAGATAGAAATGTTTCCAACGAACTAACTGCTCCAAACATTCTAATGAAGATTTTGTATTTTAAGTCTAAGTCTGATAGTTTATTGGAAGGAGTTTCTTTCAACTTTGTAACAGCTACATGTTTTTCATTTTAGATCTACGTGTAGATCTGATAGAAGAAATTTCTTCCAACTTACTTACTGCCACAAGTATTTCAGTTTAAGTCTATGTCTGATAGAAGAGTTTTCTTCCAACGTACTAACTGCTTCAAATATTTTATTGAAGGTTTGTTAGAAGAAATTTCGTCCGACTTACTAACTGCCACAAATATTATACATTTATTTCCCATGCCTGAGGGAGATATGAAGATTTGTTCACCCAAGAATATTCATATTTGACGAGGGCTCTGCCTGAGGGAAATATGATTTTTCGAGGGTGAACAAATCTTCATATCAAAGGGAAATGAATGTTTTATTCCACTGCCTATGCTTTGTTTACTATCAATACATTGATTATTATTTTGCATAATTTTTTTTCTTATCCGCTTGTTTTTATAGGTTAAACTTAACATGACATACACATTGATAAACAGTACGGATCAAAAGTTCATTATTAGTCTTTTTGTTTTATCGTCTGAAATACATTTGAACATGATAATGATTTTTGCTATCACTATTTTATGAAGAATAAGAAGTTCAAAACTTTATGTACATTAACCGCGCGTAACGTCGCACGATGTAATCCCGACATTTCAGAGCGGAATATGAAGATTTGTTCAATGACACGTGGGATAGTCTCAACCAATCAAATATTGATTAAACTATCAATATGTATAAACAGTGGAATAATACATTTTAGGTCAGGCTTTATAAAGAAATTTCTTCCAACCAACTAACAGCTACATGTGTTTCATTTAAGATCTAAATGTAGGTTTGACAGAAGAACTAACGTCTCGGATTAAATATTTCATTTTAGGTTTAAATCTGATAGAAGAAATTTCTTTCAACAAACGATCAGCTCGAAGTAATTCATATTACGTTTGATAAAAGAAAATTTCTATCAACGAACTAACTGCCATAAGTATCATATTGTAGGCATACGTCTGATAAAAGAAATTTCTTCCAAGTTTCTGATTTTGTTGTTTCTTACAGAGAAGAAATTTCTTCTAACCAAAAATTAGAAAACAGTTGATGCATTTGGTAATTTTAAAATGAACTTTGCATATTTCAGTCCGCAAAGAGGACATTTCTAGATTTTCCTCTTTTATTTTGGACTACCTTGTTAATTAGAGACACCCTCGAAGAATCCGAAACAGATATAAAAGGCGCCAAAGTTGTCTTTGGAGTTCAACCGAATCGCCTTTTCAACAGAAGACAACCATGAAGAATCTTAGTGGTTTGTGTCTACTGATTTTGGCTTTCACAGTATCCGAAGTATATGGGTAAGTTTTTATGATGGACACTTTTTCAGGTGCATAGTGGCAACTTTGGGTTTATCATCTGGAATAGGTCATTCGCTAGATGTTAGACTAATGCAAACTTCCGTCTTGCTTTTATACTATTTATGGTATGTAATGTTTACGTTTTATACTATTTATGTAATATAAGAACAAGGAGATGTGGTATGATTGCCTATGAGACAACTATCCACCAAAGTTCAAATGAAGTGGATGTAAGCAATGTAAGCATGGTATTTAATTTTTACTTGTTAAAATGTTTGATTAAAAAAAAATGTAGAACACATATGAATTTTTTTTTTAAAAGCAGATTTTAAAATTTTTCAGACACTGTCAGACATGTTCGAGGAAAGTGCGTCATAAAGTAGGACGGTTTTATACGTAAGTAAACAAGTTTTTTTTTAAATAATGACACAAAATAACTATTTTTTCAAAGTAAAAAAATGTTAAATCTAAGATACAGTATATATATAACTATACATTTTTTCATTACAGAATGTATAAGTTACTACTAGTTGACCTTTTCCAGTATTCTGCGTTTCAAACAGAACACATATTGTGTTTGATTAATGTCGTTTTGTTAAACTGATATTGTTTATATAAGTCTTTTTTCTGTGTTGCATTTTTACTGTAGTATTTTCACTACCTATTATGATAAATGGTGGATATGTTAATAATTTTGCATTGAATTCATGTACATGTAAACATATTTCACTGTATCCTTTTACCCTATTGATTGGGTTGCATACTCATATATCACTCGGTTGTACCTTTGTCCATTTACAGAACGTAATATTCTTTACAGATCTTCGGTGTTCGTTACTGAATTTATTCAAAAACTTTCTATACCTTCGGAATCACTATGGTTTGTTGTATGATCTTACAGTATGAATTTGGTCTCATTTCGATTCAGCCAACTCTTAACATACCCATTTCCTGTTGATACAAAATCTCTAGATAGAATTTCAATGTCCAAAGTCATACCCTCTGCTACAATAACATGCATCGATGCCTGGCATTTTCAATATATTTGGCGGCTTGTGTACGACACTGTCTCATACACTTATAAATAGATGTTCGTGAAACCTATATTTTTAAAGCCCCCCTCCGCTAGTGGAAGGAAGCATTAAGTGTTTCCATTGACCGTTTGTTCTTCCGTTCGTCACAAAAGTATTTTCACATATTATAAGCAAGCTTGAGCGGGGGCATTCGTGTCTTTAGACACATTCTTCTTATATATCTGTATAATATTTTAGATGCTTCCCATCATTAGTTTTTTTATTTAACATTTATTAATAATAATTCTGTCATGTTTTACAGCTATACCACCAAAAAATACCTTTGTCGTTGTTCAGGTAAGCTTAGTACTTTTATTTGTAGTCTGAATTTTACATTGCAAAAGCGTACCAGAATGCATTGCAATTCTTTAGTGGACGATAAATAAATGAAAAAATAAATATGTTGAACATTGGTTATTGTTTCTTGATGACAAAACTATGTGGTAGAAAATAGTTAATAATGTATTTTTAAAACACCAATGTCATTTAATTTTTTTAAAAGTTGAAATATAAAGTTATTTGAATAAAGTGACAATTCAACACAAATCACATACCAATATTTATGATTAATTAGAAAAAATCGACCATCTCATTATAACGTATACTTTTTATAGTGGATGGTGGATGGAGTGATTTTGGAGATGTAAGGTGGTTCGGTGGATGCAGTGTAACTTGTGGAGCTGGAATGGAAAACGGGTTAAATACAAGAAAATGCAACAATCCTACCCCACAGCATGGCGGCAAACAGTGCGTTGGGTCTTCGAACAGAAAAGAAAGTAGACCATGTAGACTTAAGGAATGTCCAAGTACGACCACAATTTTAAGCTCACCTGACCCGTAGAAACAAGTGAGCTATTTTCATCACTTGAGCTCCGTCGTCTGTTAAATTTGACAAATATCTTAACAAAAACTACCGGACTAATTGGAATCAAACTTGGCTCCAAAATCATTGGCAAAAAAAGAAATGTCCAAAGATCTTGCATGCAAACCAACATGCCCGACATTGCTAAAAATAGAACATATGGATAAAATGCAAGTTGTGTCTAGTAATGATAGAGAAAATCTGACAGTGGTAGTAATGTTCAAAACGTCGAGATCGACGTACTGACTTTTTACACTAAGAATTATCAGACGACTTTGACAACTTTATAAATTTTATTCATTGTTGCCTATTATATTGAAAAATAATAAAATAATAATTAAAATATAATAGGTACAGAGAAACTTTATGTACTGAATTATTAGCAAAAAAAAAAGATCTTCAAATTTGTCAAAATGACTGAAATTGTCGGTCGACTCTTTATGGGCGTTATTACCACTAAATGGCTATAGTATAATAGAAACAGAGAACATTATGATAAGGTTCAACAGGACAAGATCTACAAGTTTGTATAATTGCTAAAATCTTGGGTTGAGTCCCCTTGATGACGATTTTAACGTTTTATATAAATTTTTGGTGAAACCTATAGTAGAAAAAGAAAACTGTGAACTGTAAAATGACCAGCAAGACACGATCTACAAATAGGTTAGTATAGCAAAAATTGTCAGTGGACTCCTTATAGGAGTTATTATCCTGATAGGACGATTTTTACTACGTTATTTTTTTTTTCAGTTTTTTGGACGAAAACTATCATAAATAAAGAAAACTTTAATCAACAATAAAGATGAGCAAGACAAGATCTGCAAATAAGTCAACACTGTCGAAATTGTTAGTTGACTCCTTATAGGAGTAATTAACCTATTTTTCTTTTTTAAGTATCATGCCAAAACTATAGAAGATAAAGAGAAACTGTAAACAGCCAAAATGATCACCAAGACAAGATAGGCATTTTCTAATAGAAGACAACCCTTGAATGACAATTTTTACCAATTTCTTTTCTATTTTGAGCAGATATCTTAATAGGTAGAAAGCGGAAAATATCAACAGAAAGAGATCGTAGTCATCAATTTTATTTTAGTCTTCAATGTTGAAAATTCAAATATATCAAAGTGATCAGCGGAGGCTCATAATTAAATTCTCATTACACTTGATCTTGTCTAAGACATCAATGTCAGTGAACAAAAAATGCAATTTTCACGTTGATTTACAAGGTTCAGTTTTCATATACTTTCAGTTAGTTGTCAACCGTACACCTTTGAGTTGAAAATAAATATGTAACACTCTAAAACGGGTCCATCCTCCAAAAACGTATCCAGTTCGCTCAAAAAGACAGACGAAAGATACCAGAGAGACATTAAAACTCATAAGTCGAAAATAAACTGACAACGACATAGCTAAAAAGGAAAAAGACCAACAGACAAAAAATAGTACACAAAACACATCATATAAAACTCAAGACTGAGCAACACGAACCCCACCAAAAACTGGAGGTGATCTCAGGTGATTTGGAAGGGTAAGCATATCCTGCTCCACATTTGGCACCCGTCGTGTTGCTCATGTTAGTACAAACCCGGTAATAAGTCTAATTCGGTAGGTCACATTCGGGAAAAGAGAGACTGGATTGTAGTTACGACATTAGAAATATATCCAATATCATCTGTAAAACGGATATTCAGTAACGGTCAACCAACTCGTGATGGCGTCCGTAAAACTTACGAAGGGATGATTTCAACTTCACACATTGGAACTCTTGGTTTAATCAAACATATCCAATTTCTATTCCCCAAACGTGTCAATTATTTTCTTCGCTCAAACGTGTCCGATTTTAATTTCTCCCAAAAGTGTCTAACAAAAATATTTATCCGCCAAAACGTGTCCACATAAGACACCAGAACGTCTCAAAACTTTAAGCGCTAATATGTTCTCTATGGCTGTTACACATATCTTGTTAAGTTAAACCGAGTTAACCATTACTGCAATCTCTTTTAGCTGATGGTGGTTGGTCAGACTATGGAGATTTTAATGAATGGTCAGCTTGCAGTGTTAACTGTGGGAAGGGTACAAAATCACACGAAAGAACAAGATCCTGCACGAAGCCAGAACCCCAGTTTGGAGGGAAAGATTGCGAAGGAAGTGAAGTAGATATTCAAACGGAGTCATGTCAAATGTTGGATTGTCCAGGTAGTTTAATTTGCGTCATTTAATCAATTTTGAAAATTTGTATGATAACGGATCCAGAGAATAATGAAGGGGTTGTTCGTCGTATGTTCGATTTTGTTATTTTTTTTTTTAGATCACGTGAAAATGGTAAACAACTTATAAAAACTATTTTATTAATTATATTCCGCACAGTACATTTTTAAAGTTAAATATTTTCACACAATTTTTGAATATAAATATGGACAAAAACATGGGTTTAGTAAAAATACATTTACACCTTCGTTTTAAACAAAGCCGGCCTCTCTGTCAATGAAATTCACTTGAATGTGTTCAGCGACACCTACAAAACACTCAGGTGCTCCGGAAGGGTAAGCAGATCCTGCTCCACATGTGAAACCCGTCGTGTTGCTCATGTAAGTACAAAACCGGTGATATATCTAATTCGGTAAGTCACTTTAGGGGATAGGGGACGAGATTGTAGTTACGACAATTGGTAAAAAATGAAACCAACACGTAATACATTTTATGCGTCCTAACATATCCGTCGTCATCTGTGAAACAGATATTCCATAACGGTCAACCAATTCAATGGCGTCCGTAAAATTTACCCAGGGATGATTTCAACTTATAACTCTTGATTTAAAAAAACAAAACATTTCTGGATGGAAGGGACAAAAAAAGTTAGTTTGGATTGAAAATTAGTAAAAAAAAAACTAATTGAGCTTCGACATGAATAATTTTTTCCTGTATGTTATTGAAAAAAAAAATTATTTAGTTTAAAAAATGTTAGTGCCGAAAAAAGCGTAAGCCTCCCCACAAAATTTAAATGGTCAGTGCCTAACAACGTTTATTAGATTTACACTGCGCATTGATTTTTATCTAGAATTTGAGTGCACAAGTGATGGTCTTTTTGCCTACCCAAATGACTGTACCAAGTATATTCAGTGTGGTAACAAAGTCAAGTATGTAATGCCATGTGCACCAGGAACTCATTGGGAACAAACAAAAGGCTACTGTGACCATGGTGACGACTGTAACTAGTGGTATGATATTATTAATTTTGTCAATATTTATTTCAAAATACATCTTTTGTAAGTTCATTTGGTAAATTTTCATATGTAACTATGACAGTCCGTTTGAAGCTAAGACATTTATACACGTGTTTTGATTTCAGAGAATCATGTGAAGTTTAATCTACCGCAATTAACAAAGAAATATATATATATATATATATATATATAACATATAGCACCCCAAATGAAAAAGCTCCATTTAACAGTATGAATTTAAGTGGAATTTAATTTTTGTGCAATAACATGATAAATACAACTTTTGCAACTTAATTTTCATGATCCTCTGTATTTTAAAACATCGCAAATGGCTAAGTTCTGTGAATTCTTTAATATAACAACATGCCAAAATTCAAGCTAGAGTGATATGCAATTTATTATTTGTGAACATATTTGGTTATTTGAGTTGTTCAATTGCTGTCTTATTGTCGTATATTCTACACATAGACGTCCGTTAGGAGTATGGACCAAAGTATAAGTTTTATTGGAATGTTGAGCGATCACTAGTTGTTTATAAGGATACTCGAGTATATCTATTTAATAATTTGCATATTTTCTCTAATGGGCATCAACATTTTGTCTTATATATATATATATAATTGTCGAGATCGGGATATGGTGTACAAATATAAATATATATGTTTTATAAAATATAATTCAAAACTTTCTTTTTCAGAGAATTGAACTGCTGACGTAAGGCTTTGAAAAAAGCTTTCATTGAAGATTTTTCCTCTAACACTGTTATAATCAGAACATTTCCATTTCTGTGACATCATTGTCGCACAAGCTGACGTAACTGAAAACCTCATTCAATGTGTATCAGAGAAATTCTCATAGCATTATTCATGTTAAAAAATCTTAATTTACTATTATTAGATATATTCTATAGCATTCACATATTGTCAACTGTTTACTTTGTAATAAATAGACTAGCAGTGGCACACTCTCAATGTTCTTCTTCTGTTATATTGTGTGGTCCTCATTTTTTGTAGGACTTCGTAAATTTCACTTTAAAACACCATCAAATAATACGTTGACTTACACTATTTTACAGCATAGTAATAGCCCTAAAGGGTTGTGTTAGTTATTGAAGGTTATCAACCTCTTCTTAAATAAATAATAGGTAAAACAGTGTCAGTAGTCACTACTGAAGAAACCCTGGTAGAATAAATTCACAGAAATTAGCCATGAAATGAGACAGTTTTTCTTTAGATCACATCAGTTTAACAAAGATTTTTTGGTGGGGTTCGTGTTTCTGATAATTCTGAAAATAAGGAGAATAAGATGTGGTATGTTTGCCAATGAGACAATTATCCATTATAGTCCAAATGACGTGGATGTAAGCAACACTTGGTCCCTTTGTAGTGATTTGTGAACTGTTTGTTTGTCTCATGGTCATGCTGTTGTCGGTCTTTCTTTGACCAATGTTTTTTGTTTGATTGCCACTTAGGATCTTTTCCTCTTCTGCATATTACAGCCCACTGACTATTTTAAAGACCTCATATATTAATTCTTTGACCAATGTTTTTTGTTTGATTGCCACTTAGGATCTTTTCTTCTGCTGCATATTACAGCCCACTGATTATTTTAAAGACCTCATATAATAAGTCTTTGACCAATGTTTTTTGTTTGATTGCCACTTAGGATCTTTTCCTCTTCTGCATATTACAGCCCACTGACTATTTTAAAGACCTCATATATTAATTTTTTGACCAATGTGTTTTTTGTTTGATTGCCACTTAGGATCTTTTCCTCTTCTGCATATTACAGCCCACTGGCTATTTTAAAGACCTCATATAATAATTCTTTGACCAATGTTTTTTGTTTGATTGCCACTTAGGATTTTTTTCACTTCTGCATATTACAGCCCACTGATTATTTTAAAGACCTCATATAATAAGTCTTTGACCAATGTTTTTTTTGTTTGATTGCCACTTAGGATCTTTTCTTCTTCTGCATATTACAGCCCACTGACTATTTTAAAGACCTCATATAATAAGTCTTTAATAAAATAAGCAAATAAATCAAAAACAATAACAAATCAGGCTGTTGATTTTTTCGTTTGAATTGTTGCACATTTTGGCATGTCGGGGCCTTCTACAGCTGACTATAAGGCATGAATTTTTCGTTGTTGAATTGCCGTACGTTGACCTATATATGACTACGATCACGTCATTTGGATAGTTGTCTCATTTGCATTCGGACAACATCTTGTTATTTTATTTTGTAAATGTATATATGACATTAAAGTGTGCTCTTATTTACTGGTTATCCGATGGAGAAAGCCAACTTTAGGGTAGTCACATATTAGACGTATAGAATAAAATACATCTTGAAGTGGCTGCATGCTAAATATCTAGCATCCTTTACGACTGACAAAATACATCTACATGGCGACGAGGAAAAGCACCAGTCTTACCCGATTGTCGATTAAAGCGTACAATTAAAAGTTATTAGTAGAATATCAATAATACTATTGTTAGTTCTAAAATATGATATAGAATAAAGTTGATGCCAAAAATGTATTGCAACATTGATTCACGAACTCTAAAAGCCAAGTTAAAAGCAGTTATCAAAACCATTACTTTCTAACGTCCTCCTGTTGCAATTCCGTACAATTAATGTTTCAATGATTTATATTCTGTTATCATCTTAAATATCTAAAATTGCCTGTCATATCTTATATATAAATGCTTATCATATCTTCAATACACTAAAGTTTAATATTTAAATTATAAATTGCATAATGTCATATTTCGTGTATCTGATATTTGTTCGACGACTTAAATTGTCATTTCCTTGATAATAGTGCGATGACGGAATAGGAAAAAGTCGATTATTAAAAGTGTTAAATTTCACTTCATATTACTCGGCTAAAAATGTACAAGTCTTAGAAAATTATTTTACTTGAATTTAAGATTGGTCGTCAAAAAGTCGCATGGTGCAGTTTTTTTTCAATTTTATCGTTTAGCTAACAAATTTGACTAAAATGCAGATCATGAGTGGCATGCAGTTTGACTTTTTTCAAATGCTGCACTCCATCATATTTTTGTTTTTATTTTATTCAAACACAAAAAAAGTAAAATAAAAAAAAAAAAACGAACTCCAAGGAAAATTCAAATCGGATAGTCCCTTATCAAATGGCAAAAACAAAAGTTCAAACACATCAAACGAATAGAAAACAATTGTCATATTCCTGACTTGGTACAGGCATTTTCTTATGTAGAAAATGGTGGATTAAACCTGGTTTTACAGCTAGCTAAACCTCTCATTTGTATGACAGTCACATAAAATTCCATTATATTGACAACAATATGTGAACAAATCAAACAGACAAAATAGGTAAAAATGTCAAAATTAGGGGTACAGCAGTCAACATTGTGTTATAATCTTAATCACTATAAAAGCAAACAAATATGTCAGCAAAGAAAAACTAAGTGGCATATAGACAAAGCACATAAGAAAAAATGAAAGACAAGAATACAAAAAATGATCAAGCACAACAACACAATGGCGGGATGCATAGATACCAAGCCACGACAGAGGGATATAACCAAAAATGGACTTAACAGTAAAGGTTAACAATTTACAAAGACAAATAAAAGAACACTTTAACACGTTATTAAGATAATAAACAACGTCAGTACCTAGAATCTATACTCCAAGACCATCGTGTATTATTTGTGAAGTTGATACGGAATATTTATCAACAAGGTTTCGGTATCTTCCGATGAACATTTTTAGAAAAAGGACGAGACGTTCTTTGACATAACCCTGGTTCATCAACCTTTTGCTCAGACACTGGTGAGGTTTTATAAAGTCTGAGTAGCAGCTGAAAGCTCTTGAATACCTAATGAGTTAGGAAATGTATATCCAATATACAGGTGAAGTTGGTATATTGCTACTAAGGGCGGGGAATTGATAATTTCAAAATTAAAATCGTCTCGGTTGTCATAGATTCTAGTACTGAGATGATCCCTCATGTCAAATTCGAGGTATAAGTTTAAAAATGAGGCGGAGGAAGCCGTGTCTGTTGTTTCTTTAATTTCTAGTTCTGGAGGATATATTAGTGGAACCCAATCAGAAAAGTTTGGATTGTAAATGGAAAGAACATCATCAATATATCTGAATGTGAAATTAAATGATCTGGCCTCTTTGATCTTCTTGTTTTTGAAAAGTGTCTGAAGGAACTCCGACTCATATGAAAATAAGAAGAGGTCTGCAAGGAGACGCTCACAGTTCATTCCCATAGGAATGCCGACAATTTGATTGAAAAGTCTACCTCCAAATTCAACAAATATGTTGTCAATAAGAAACTCCAGCATACTGATCACTTGTCCCTCTATGTAGTATGTTTTACCTTTTTGTTCACTTTTAACAAAATATGCCGTATGGTATCCGACAGAAGTAAATTTATATGCTACCATTTTTTATTGAAAATGCATTGTGGATTATTTCTTTTAGACGATTTTTTAATTTCATATGGGGAATTGTGGTACACAGGGTTGAAAAATCAAAAGTTTTGATAGAATTAATTTCAGAGAAAGATTGAGATATAGAATTATCCAGAAGTTCTTTAGAGTTTCTTAGAATCCACATATGGTTAATACCTATACACGCGTAAACAGTCTCACAGTTTTTCTGAAGACCCTCTTTCAATGCGAATAGAATTTTTGTCAATCTAAAGGACAATTCCTTTGTAGAACATGCAGATGAGCCGGCAATGTACCGTTGTTTGAATTGAATTTTGTGAAGCTTAGGTATCCAATACAAACAAGGTAAGTCCTCATATTTGCAGTTCAATGTAATGTTCATTGAAGCCATGAAGGACTTATGTTTCTCCAAAATCTCATCCTTGTCAAATGATATGTTTTTGTATGTGAAATTACCTGAGTGCTCATTTATTCTTAATTCTTTTACAAGACACTCGTAGTAGTACGATTTACATACAAGGACAATATTATTTGAAACTTTGTCCGCAGGAACAAAATAAACAATGCTTTATTCATTTATCGAAAAAGCTTATCAGAAAAGCCTTTTGATGACAAATTATGAAGGTACAAAGTACTGTAAACGGGAACATTTTGTGTTTCACCGGGTTCCAACACCATACAATAAAGTTCTAATTTATAAGTTGTATCGTAACTAGTATAGATACACTGCAATATTTCTTTTAAACAATTTTTTTTTAAATTTCAAAATATTTACTCTCACATCATTAACTTAAAATAATTTCTGGAAAGTTATGTTTTTGAGTTGTATATTAAGGAAAATGAGATCCGAAAAAATACCGAAATTGACAAAACTTGGAAGTCCGTTGAAACTTGGCTTTAATATTTGAAAGAAGCATACATAAATCTCGTTTTAGATTTTAACGAGAGAAATTTATGTATTACTGAAAAATTATTACACCAGGGTTTTCGATATCACAAACTAGTCAAAACATTTACTAAATTTTATCATCGGTATAAGGACATCATTCGTTAATATAGCTCAACATGCAGACTTCTTATACGTTCAGGTATTTCACATCCAATTTTTTATGGAAATATTCTTTATAAAGCACAAAAATGTCAGTATTCACCTCTGAAACTAACAAAACCTTTAAATAGCCTTATTAAGAAGGGATATAGTTACGATACTGTTGTCAGGTTATTAAAGATTGCATATTTTGGCGTTTATATTGATTCACTTATAGGGTCTTTGCATCGGCACTAAACACATTTATTTAAAAACCAGTTGTTGGCATGACACGGGTTATGTTCTTCTCATATATGTTATGATGGTATGATACTAAACCCCTAACGGGAAGGATTGTGCCTGA